GGACAGTTGCTCACCACCCTCACAGCAAAAACTTCTGCTTAAGATCTAAGCTAAATTTCCTCTTTCAATTTCTCCCCATACCTCCTTGTCCTGTCCCTGCAGTTCCTAACACAGAGTTTCTCTGCAGCTTCCCTGGAGCCCTTTCAGCTCCTGGCAGGTTGCTCTGAGGTCTCCACACAACCTTCTCTTCTCCAGTTTCCTTCACCTGCAGCATCCCAGTACTGGAGAGCAGCACTGACTGGTTCCCAGTGAACTCCCTGTGCAGGTGGGAGTGTTTCTAGCTCAGGCAGTGCCCAGCTAAGTGCAGGTTGGTGCCTGCAGCCACAGCAGCACAGTCCTGCTGTGACCTGAGCTGCAAACTGCTCCCCCAGGAGTGATGGATGGAGCTGATCTCTGCTCTCAGGCACACCCAGAACTCCAAACATTGCTTTTGGGTAAACATTTGGAGAGAATTTTGCCCAAGCAGCTCAGGACCCACAACACACAGAACTGCACATTACAGTCCCAGCCATGCAGTGATCCCAATCCCACCAAGCACAACAAACATTCTCCAAATCCTCTCCTCTCTCCCAGTGTTGGCATCAGGAAGCAGCAGGTTGAGGCTGAAAATGCTGATTTTCATGGAACAGTTTTCCTGCTGCTCTAGTTATGTTAAAAACTGCTCCAAAGGGGCCCACAGCAGCACACCAGGCTCTCTCCTGCCCTTTGCAAGGAATGCTGCTCCAGGCTGTGCTTTCAGTGTTACAACAGCTCATTCCTTGTAGAGGTATTTGGATTTGAGATAAGAGAGGAGTGCCCAGAACTCTTCAAGAAGGTGAAATACTTTTCATCAGACCCTTTTGTGCAGTTTTGGTCTCATTCTGACACTTAATGCCTGTCCTTGGGGAAAAAATTAAATGGATTTCTGGATAGATGTCTGTGCACATCTCCAGGGAGGTGCCAGAAATCCTTCAAGATTTGTTTTCATTCTTTCTCCACCACCTAGTTTCATCCTAAACAAGGTTCATTGCATAAATCCAAAGGTATTATTGCATCCCTTGTTTAAGCAGCTGTCAGAATGAAGCTGAGGAGAAGAATCCAGTGTACTGCCAGTAAATAAACAGAGGCAAGCTCAGAAAATCAGGGATTAAGTACAGCAGGTGAACAGCAGAGTGTGAAGAGCTCTGCCCTAAACTAATGCCATGTAAGAACTAGTAGAACAAGTCCAAGTGAGAATGAACTAAGCTTTGCTGAGCCATAGAACAATGAGTTAGGTGTGGTTTGCACATGAACAGACAACAGCTGCAGGCAAAGTGCCTGGAAATCTTCCTCAAGGTGGGAAAAAAAGAGCAGTCAAGAGATGCAGTTCCAATGACCATCCAAAGCTACCCCAGGAATGACTTGCTTCGTGTGCCTGAGCAGAAGATGCTTTTGTAGAACTTCAATTACAGGGGTTATCCCTTGGTCACACTGCAGATAGTTTCTTGGAAGGCAGAGGAGAAAGCAGGATCAGAAGGATTCAGCTCTTCCCAGCACTGCCTCCTCCCACACAGCCCAGCAGGGCACACTGCTGTGTTCCCATAGCAGCTCCCTCACCCTGTGACCCCAGGAATAAAACTGAAAGGCACACAGCCATGTGCCTGCCCAGCTGTCAGATACTCCCTGCAGGAGCTCTGGGGCTTCCACACAGCAGGGAATCGTGGAATTGTTCAGGCTGGAAAAGCCCTCTAAGATCAACAAGTCTAACCATCAACCAGCAGCACTGTGTTCACCACTAAACCATGTCACCAGATGCTACATGCACATGGTTTTTGGACACTTCCAGGGATGGTGATTCCAACAATGCCCTGGGCAGTATGTTCCAATGCTTTACAACCCTTTCTGTGAAGGAATTTTTCCTGATATCCAATCTAAACCTCCCTTGGCACAGCTTGAGGCCATTTCCTCTCATCCTATCACTGTTCCCTGGGAGCAGAGCCTGATTCCCACCTGGCTGCACCTCCTGGCAGGGAGTTGGAGAGAGCAGAGGGTCCCCTCTGAGCCTCCTGTTCTCCAGGCTGAGCTCCTCCAGCTGCTCCTGTGCTCCAGACCCTTCCCCAGCTTCACTGCCTTCTCTGGACATGCTCCAGTATCTTCACTTCACCCTCAAGTCACTTATTTCCCAGGGATTAGGGAAGACAGGACAGTGCTAACAGAGTGATGTGTCAGTACAGACCTGTCACTGTCACACCACTGCAGAGACCTGAAGCTACAGCTCTCTCCATCCTGTGGGGCTCAGGCAGGAGCAAAGTGAGGAGCTGAGGAACCACTGGGAAGGCAAGGTGAGAAAACAGGGGGTGAGGACTCCAGAGGACCATCGTGAGGAGAGAGCACCCAGAAATTGCATCAGAGCTAGGAAACAGCAAATGCTGCTCATGACCAACTCAAACTGCCAATACTATTGCTCTGCTGTCAAAGGTGTTTGGGAGCTGGCAGCTCCCTGCTGCTCATTTAAGAATCCCATCCCATCTCCACATGGATGTCACACACATGGATCAGCAAGGAGACTGTCACTAGGCTGCCTGAGCTATGCTGTGTGAATCCCTGGGGCTCCAGGCAAGCAGGGAAGCACATGGAGGCTCCCAGACCAGCTCACAGCAGGCACTGGAGACAACAAGAGAGCTATTCATCTCCAGGATCCCACATCCTGCCTCCAAAAAACCTCAGAGTTTTATTATTCCAGCTCTGGAAAACATCTGAAAATGTTTGATGTCCTCCTTGAGAAGGGAGGGAGATCAAAGGGAGAAGCAAGATTGAAGGGAAAGCTGTTAACGCACAGACACCAAAAAACTAGGAACAAATAGAGGACAGTGACCCACATATCCTGTAGTGTCACAGGACAAGACTCCACTGGGAATCCCCATCCTGGTGGATAGGAGCTATTGGTGCATCTCTTGGTGTAATTGTGCTTAACAACATTTAAAAAACAATTCCTGGAGCCTTTCCCAGGCAAACCACCCATGGCAGCACAAGGCAGCCCTGCTTGTGGAATCACCAACAGGTAGGAGAGAATCCCAGTATCTGGAGCCTGGAATGGTTAAGAGTGCAGCCAGTCTGGGATCTGTGGGATAACTCCATTCAATCCTGTGATTCCAAGACCAGAACAGAAACTAGACTATGTGTATTTCCTATCAGAGCATAGCACACCAAAGACAAGTCCAAAACACTCCTGAGTAGGAGCCTGTGGTGGGAAAGTACAGAACATCTTGGGATGGAACCTGGCACAAGGTCTATGAGCATGAGAGATCCTGTTCCCACCACTGGATCAGCTCTCCAAGCTCTTCTGAGCAAACAAGAACTGCACATTAGGCATCAGATCAATGCTAACTGGAATGAGATGAGCTTCCAACCCAATCCATTTCAGGATTCCATGAATCCTCATTGTAAACCTGACACCAGGTTTGGATTCAGGCCTATGTTTCATCCCAACATGCTTGGAGCCAGAGGTCAAACACTGTACACAACAGGTCTCTTATCTCTTGCCATTTTCACATGGACTGAGATTGCTTTGGAGCCGGGAATGGAGAATGTTCCCTGTGCAAACACAGACAGAGATTTTCCCTGTGTGTGTGCAGATAATCCCAGTTCCCACTGCTCCAGCTGGGTCAGGACAGCCACTGGAGCCAGCAGCAGGGCACTGAGCTCAGGGTAAGGATAGGGGTTAGGGCAGGAGGAGGGAGAGAAAGCAGGCGAGAAACACAGAAGCTCAGGAAACTGAAGCAATTTCTGTAGAGCCTGAAATAGACCAGGAGAAAAAGAATAATCCTTTTCTCCTTCTAAGGAATCTCTTTGAGGATTGTGTGTTACAGCACAGAACCAGCTGACAGGGGAACAGGAGTAAAGGGAGAAAGGACAGGAATTGCTACAAGGTCTGCAGAGGAGATTCCTGTGTCCCTACAGAGACTGCACAGAACTGAGCCACATTCCCAGCCCAGAATTACCTTCTCACACCCACAGGGCTGGAGTCACCCACACACCAAACTCTCCATCCCCTTTCCCAAGACACATCCTACCTTCTTCCTCTTTTTTGAAGACTCCTCAGCCAGGTTGGACTTTTTATCTCCTCCATGTCCTGCTGCTGCCACCTCCTCTTCCTCCTCCTCTGGAATGAGGCTATATTTGGTACCTCCAGGCTGCATGAAACATTCCTTGGCAAAATGACCTGGAAAAGAACATTAGAAGGAGCAATCCACCCCCTTCTCCTTTTTTGTCTTGTTTAACAACTGCATTTCACACCCTTGACGTGCTGCCAAGGATCTTTGTGTTATTAGTCACAAGAAGACAATCCACACTGTACATTTTTGGCCTTAAAATTTCAGCTGGTGAGTTAATGAAGATATTCTTGACTGAACTGGGCAGTTGGTAGAAATGTGTCTGTGCAGAGGCTCAAACAGCATGGAAAAGTGTATGGGAAAGAGAAACTGGTGTGATTGGCACATGGTAAATGAGCTAAAGCCACAAAGAGCAGCTCATCTGGTCCTACCCTTTCTAACTCTGGAGGCATCAAAGTTGACCTACTAAAAAGCTGCAGTGGAAACTCAGGTAGGTGGCACCTGCCTGTCTGTTAGGAGACATCAGCATTAAAAAGCAGATGGATATAGGCAAAATCCAGATTTGGGGGGTTCTTTAAAACACTATTAGTATAGTTATATAGTTATAGCTAGTATAGTTATAAACCATGTGTGACCATGTTAACAGCTTGCCCAGAGAAGCTGTGGCAACCCCTGGGAGTGTTCCAGGCCAGGATGGAGAGGCCTTAGAGCAATGTGGGGTAGTGGAAGGTGTCCCTGCCCATGGTAGGGGGTGGGATGAGATGAGCTTTAAGGTCCTTCCAACCCAAATCATCCTGTGACACTAACCATGAGACAGACACTGATACAATCCTACCTACAAGGAACCTCACAACCCTAGAGGTGTTTAAGATACACATGGATCTTACAGTGGGTGATGTGGTTTAAGGGTTACAAAGGTAGTGCTGGTGGATGGTTGGACTTGGTGATCTTAAAGGTCTGTGCCAACCTTGATGATTCCATTCTGACTCCCTAAAAGCACTGCCCAAACTTACCTTTGCAGCCACATTTCTTGCACATAGTGTTCAAGACAGCCTCAAGGGTGATCTTCTGACTCGTGTAGTCCCTGAAGGTGCGTTTCCTCCTCTCATCCTGGCTGGAAACAAGGACAGTTCCATTTTCACTCCACACTCACCAGGAACTCTGTGTATTTGTATGAACACAACCTAAACACAAACATTTGTGTTCAGCTAAGCCAAAAAATGGAGCTGACTAAGGTCTCATTAGAACACACCATGCTCATAGAACCACAGAATCCCAGACTGGGTCAGGCTGGAAGGAACCACAGTGGGTCACTGGTCCCACCTCCCTGCTCAGGCAGGGCCAGCACAGAACACATAGCTCAGGATTGTGTCCAGATGGGTCTGGAATATCTCCAGTGAGGAGACTCCACACCCTCTCTGGGCAATGTGTTCAGTGCTTGGTCACTGCACATGGAAAAACTTCCTCCTCATGTTTCAGGTGGAACTTCCTGGGCATCAGTTCCTGCCTGTTGCCTCTTGTTTTCCAAACCAATATTGTTAACAGCCCATTGCCTGTCATCTTCTCCTTTGGGGATGGGCTGAGCCCTCTCTGCACAAAGCAGAACCACAGGGAGCTGCACCTACAGCCCTCACATAACATCTGTGTGCTGTATGTGAACACACACATGGATACACTTACCCAGGACCAAAAGAATAGAATCCTAGACTGATTTGGGCTGGAAGGACCCTAAAGCCCATCCCATCCCATTCCCTGCCACGTGTAAAAATAGGGACACATTTCACCAGCCCGGGTTACTCTAAGCCCCATCCAACCTGGCCTGGAACACTTCCAGGAATGAAGCAGTCACAGCTTCTCTGGACAATCTGTGCCAGTGTCTCAGCACCCTCACAGGGAATAATTCCTTCCCAATATCCCATCTAGCCCTACCCTACCCTCTGGCAAAGCCATTCCCTGTTAGATTCTGCTCAGTAGATTTACCTACTCAAGGGAAACGTTGTTGGGATCAAGGTCTTTGCCTGTGCCTTGGTTAACAACCTTCATGGAGAGGGAAAGCTTCAGTTTGTCATCTTTCATCTGAAAGAGAAAGATTTGGAATGAGCAACATAAATGACCAGGATGTTCATTAATTAACACACTGGATCTGGTTAATCAACATAGATTCTGCTCAGTAGATTTACCTACTCAAGGGAAACGTTGTTGGGATCAAGGTCTTTGCCTGTGCCTTGGTTAACAACCTTCATGGAGAGGGAAAGCTTCAGTTTGTCATCTTTCATCTGAAAGAGAAAGATTTGGAATGAGCAACATAAATGACCAGGATGTTCATTAATTAACACACTGGATCTGGTTAATCAACACTCTGCAAGTCTGGAGGCCTACAGAGAAGCAAGGAAACAAAGAGCAGCAACAAAAAGGATATGACATGAAAAGGCTTTTGTTCTGGTGATTTTTAGCTGCAATTAGAGTATTTTAGCTAATAAACCAACTGTCAGGAATATCTCAGGAATAAGATCAGCTTACACCATAGGTCAATTCAGATCAATGTTCTGCTTTCAGAACTGATCTAACTGATCTCTGCTCTCTGGGACCAGGGACAGGACACAGGGAATGGCTGGAGCTGTGTCAGGGGAGGGTTAGGCTGGAGATGAGGCAAAGGTTCTTCCCCCAGAGGTGTTTGGGCACTGAACAGCTCCCCAGGGCAGTGGTCACAGCCCCAAGGCTGACAGAGCTCCAGGAGTGTTTGGCCAATTATCTCAGGCCCAGGGTGGATCATTGTGGTGTCCTTGGCAGGGGAGGAGTTGGACTGGTGATCCTTGGGGGTCCCATCCAGCTCAAGAGAGTCTGTGACTCTATGAAATCCCTTTTCCTGCACTGCATTATTAGAAGTCACAGAAGGAACATGAAGAGAATTCCTGTGGCTGTAACACAGAGCCCAACAAAGCCACAGGAAGTCACAGCCTCCAGGCACAGCTCTCAGTAGTTTACAGCACATTTTATCTACACATCACTAAAGAACAAAAATTAAACTCACCTCTTTTCCTATAAGTTTCACCCAGACCTTGTCCCCAACATCCACAATCTCTGAGGGTTTATCCACACGGCAGGAGGACATGTGAGTCCTGTGGACCAGGCCTGGAAGTGGTTTGGGAAGAGAAAAGAGAGAAAAGATAAGGACAAGTTTGCAGTGAACATTAGATTTGCCCTCCAGGACAGCAGTCCCTAAAGTGCTCAGAGCAGACAATGCTTTGAGGGGTGAGAAGAACATGTTTTTAGTGTTCTAATAAATAGAATAACTTAAAACAAATTCCTAGGGCTTATTTAATCTGTAGCTCATCTTCCAAATTTAGGAAAAACAATCCTTTTCTGAGCTTTTGTTTTTGTCTGAAGCAAATCAGAGCCACAAACCTTGTTTCCTGCAGCCTGGGATCTTGATAAAGGCCCCAAAATCTGTCACTGCAGCAACCTGGAGAGGAAATGAACAGCACAGCTAAGGGAAACATCTGCACAAACAGCCACTGGCAAACTACAGGGGACGACAGGCACAAGAAACCTGCACAGGTCCCTGTTTTCCTTCAGTGTTGGATCTTAGGGCAGGTCAGACACAGCAGGGATTGGAGACTGGGGCAGGTATGGCCTGACAGCCACTGCTGCCTTGTTCAATCAGTATCTGATATGGATATAGATCATACAACGGTTTGGATTGGAAGGACCTTAAAGCTCATCCAGTTCCACACCTTGCCATGGGCAGGGACACCTCCCACTAGCCCAAGTTGCCCCAACCTGGCCTGGAACACTCCCAGGGATGGAGCAGCCACAGCTGCTCTGGGAAACCTGTCCCAGTGTCTCACTACCCTCACAGCGAGGAAGGAATTCCTTCCCAATATCCCACCTAACCTGCCCTCTAGCAGTGGGAAGCCATTCCCTCCTGTCCCTCCTTGTCCCAAGTCCCTCTGCTACTCTCTTGGAGACCCTTTAGGCACTAGAAGGGGCTCTAAGGTCACCCTGGAGCTTCTCTTCTCCATGCTGAACACCCCCAGCTCTCCCAGCCTGGCTCCAGAGCAGAGAGGCTCCAGCCTTGTGGCCTTCTCTGGACTCTCTCCAGCAGCTCCACATCCTCCTGCCATTGGTGCCCCAGAGCTGGAAGCAGCACTGCAGGTGGCACTCACCAGAGCAGAGCAGAGCAGAGGGGCAGAATTCCCTCCCTCACCCTGATATCATATCCCTGCTGCACATACCCTATTGCTGTGCACATACCCACGCCTGTGTACCCAAACACACATGCTGGCACACACAGGTGTGTGTGTGGCACAGAACTCCCAGTTCCCCAAACCACCACCGAGCTAAGCAGTGACCAACACAGACAAAGAACACCCAGAGCAGCAGGGCTGAGGCCGCAGCTCACACACCTCTCCCTGGAAGATCGCGTAGAGCTCTGGCAGTGGCTCCATCGTCGCAGCGCACAGACGATCCACAGGATTCACCCCGCGCTACTGCATTTCCCCTCGGGAGAGCTCTGAGACGCCTCGAAAAGGAACATTTAACGAGTGGCTGAACTCAGAGGGCGGAGGTGGCTGGACCCGAGCGGGACCTGAGGCAAGGCGAGACCTGGGCACGA